CATACAACACGGCACTAGAAAATCAGATGATCCGGAATTGGTGATTACGACAAATACGTGGGAAGGAAGATATATGCATCCACTTCGAGAAATTGGAAAACGTTAGACACGTATCGATGTACTATCCGCAGGAGGGCTAGAACATTTCAATGAATATCTGACTTTTGCTGGTTCTCCGATTCTGGCGATTCCGCGGATTTCTCATTATTCACATGGGAGGCAAAGCCTACTGAAGTCAGCACATAGACCAGAAAATCTACAATCAACTGCTAAAGCTATGCTAAATTGAAGCCTAATGCGCGGCCGTAGAAAAGCATGGGCGAGTTTAGTTGCGGCGAGGGGTGCGAAAGAAGTGTTGCAAAAGGTGTCACATGTGCGCCATTTGCACTAGGACCCAGTTGACTCAACATGACTAAGCTCGACACTGACTTCATACCCTTTTCATCAGTCGGATCGATAAATATGTTGTCCTCTTTACTGACTCTCCAGTTTCTCGATTCTCTCGAGCGATACTTATCTCGACCTTTCCGTCGTTATGCGATTCCCGAATCCACGGGAGTGAAATCAAGAAACTGATTCTTATCTAGTTCTTTTCGCCACAAAATTCTTTTTTCGTTCTATACAGTCCTCTCGGCAACAGGACCCTACCACTAGGAGAACCTAACTACTTTGAACTCAGCTGATCAGCGATCAAAATATCTGTTTCCTTGAAAACAAGCGCTGTGCAGATAGACGAAAGATAGCGAACGTCAGCGCTTCAAAAGAAGAGACAAGGCATGTGTTGAACCTAAGGATATGCACTTAGAAGGACGAAGGCGAGGTTCCCAAAATAGCCAGTCTTTTTTCATGTCTTAGTGGTTGCGATGCGCGGATCTGCGAGCTCCGGTGGCAGCCTAATTCAAGGATAAGAAGAGAGGTGCAAACAAGAGTAGAAAAGAAGGAAAGAGTCAAGTGGCCCGTAGATTTGCTTGGCATGATTCCACGCAATGGTTGCCAGTTTTATACCGCAAAGTAATGGAATGGAGACGTTCCTGGCCCCGCTCGAGCAACTCGTTGATCAACGGGAGCACAGGTGATACACAGATAAGGCGGCATGCCGCAAAGTAGGTGAAGCTTTCATTTCAGGAACTTCTATAATGGTACGCTCTTAAAGGCAGCAATGACATGAGCTGTATGTAGAAGATTGACGAAAACCTCACGAACGCGAAACAACAAGGATTGCAAAAGTAGAACCATGATGTTCTAAAGTAAAGAAAACACGGATACAAGTTTGCGATATCACGGAATCAAACTTGCTTAGGAACAACTGCTTGAATAAAAAAAGGCAAAAAAATAATACTTTATGAAAAGCAGCTCACCACCACCACATCTCTGGCATGTTCCCTCTTTTTGTCTTTGTCCTTCTTGGGCTTTGGACTACTGGGTGCAGATTTGCTGCCTTTTGTGGATAACATGTGCGCAGTAGCAGGGTCGTAATTCGGATCTTCAACTTCTTGTATCCTAAAAGTCATTCTTAGCATAACAGAAAAAAAGCGACAAAAATTATGCTCAATCAGGATCAATGTTCAAAAATACCTATAGCTCAAGTTGCGCAGTAGACAGACGACGTTTTCCACCGATTGCGAATCAACTTGGTTCCGTTGGATCGCGATCGTGAGGAAGTGGACCAGTCCTTCAATAAGATTCGGGCAAGCTCGAAGTCGCTTCCTAGCGGCAGCATTGGCGGCACTGATGTTTCTAAACAAAGGCAAATTCAGTCAGGTGAAGTGTCTCTAATGAATTTAATTGCCTAGAGCATCTTCTGAATGGAAAGCAACTGAAATAACAGCGCCTGCCAACTCGTTCGTGCGAATGAAGAGGCGTGTCAGGCAGGACTGGTTTGGCGTGCGCCGCACATATTCTCCACCAGCTGTTGGAAGCGGATAAGCGACAAAAAGTTGTATAAAACGGCTGGTACGAACAATGTGATACAGTCTAGCTCTGTTCACTGATGATGGGTAACGGGTTTGGCACCGCGCCAAACCCATCCCGCCGAACACGCCCCTTCATCTACAGCGAACAAGAATGTGCACTCATGGAAACTCAAGAGACGGTGAGGTAAGACC